TTTTTTTTTTTTTTTTTTTTTTTTTGCGTACGTCGTCTTCGACGACGTCCTCGTTTAGCTAACGAGTCGACCGTCACTTTAGAGAAGAATAGGTAAACCTTTGCAAAAAATATACGTATGTAATTATTGTTTTACTTTGGTAAAAAACGGCAATTTGGATTCAAACAATTATCGTTTCATATGTGAACAACGATATGTAATTTTTGAAAAGAGAATCTTTTTTAAAGTCTTGAATTTCAATAATGTTATCATTTTACTTAAACACTGTGACAGACATTCATATCTTTGAAGAGATATGAATATTTTTATGATAATAACATATTTTTCCGGCATTTAAAAATATCGTATTCTCAACACTTTGTATGTTGTGCTTTCCGTCCGTAAAAATTATTTTTTAATAGCAAAAATGTTTTTTTTCACGTCAGTCAAGCAGACTGCGCATTTAATCATTTTTAATCTCTCAAACTTCAACGTCGGTTGGCTCTAGCTTAGGAAACTTATTCGCGAGTACACGGGACGTTTCCGTCGCGAATATCAGACGTTTCATTAATACCGTCATGTCAGCAATTCGACCTCGACGTTGCTCGAAGACCCGTGGCTTGAACGGCGCGATTTTAAACGGGACGCAACGTTCTCTGTAAATTCGGTAGGGGTGCGGAAGTGGGGGACGAGCGCGCGCAATCTCAAAGGCATGCGAACAACAGAGGATCAACCCGGTTGAGGATTTATTCCGTTTTACATTTAGATGTCGACGCAGCGAAGGCCTCTCTGGAGAACGTGCCGGCGAACTTGTATGAAAGCGTATGCGTGCCAGATTTAGGTGATTTTTTGGGATACCAGGGTGGCCATCAAGTAGCAGCATCGGAACATAAAAACCCACCGACGCCCGCCGGTTCTGCCGCCTCGAACAACTCCTCCGGTCCTCCTCCGAGCGGTATGCAACAACCCTCTTCGGTGTCTCTGCCATCGAGACAGTATCATAACGATGGTAAGTCCATTTTCACTCCATTCCTCCGCTTGTCGGGCGAGGGATTACTCTCGGGCTACACACAGGTGCAGGTACTGAACGGACAATTTCGGCATCCCCGTGCCTCTTTCCTCCCGATTCCGCAAATTGAACTGAATTAAATCCCCGAAACGTATCATCGCGCGACACCTCCAACGATAAACGAAATCAACGTCAGGTTAGCAAGCGAATTGTACATCCAAATCGTTATCAATCCCTTTAATTTTCCTTTTAGTATCCAAATTTCAGATAAAACAGGTTTGTTTTTAAGATTCCTCGTTCGTTACAAAGTATCGGCTGATAGAGAAATTCCAGAGAAATTCGCGTTGAAAAATTTCCTCATTGATGTCTAATTCGCTCAAACAATCAGCAGTATTTGCGTAAAGGTACTTTTGAAATATAAAAAAAGGAAGGAGAATTACCAACGGTGGAAAGGGTTAGAAATTGCTCGCCAGCTATAAAGCTGGATAAGCGTCCATAGAGAGAAAGCGACTTCATGTATAACGAGGGGGACAGATAAGCAATGAGCTTCGCTATTACTTCCTCACACCCCGGGGCTTTCCTTCTCTTCCTCCTCCTCCTCGATACCGATAACTCCGTGCGTGCATACGCAAGGTACTACTAAATTACGCGACAAGCCGGTTTATTTATTTCCCCGATTGCAAGTACGAACGAAAGCGTTGCGACTCGGTGGAGGAGTTTCTCATTGTTACGTCAGGGTGGCTGATAACATCTCTCAGGCCGACGCGTTTGCACGTGTTGCAAACACAAACCTCTCATTATCGTCACCGTTCGTTTCTCATTTAACGTTTCTTCGTCATCGTCGTAGTACCGGCCGCGCACCGTCAGCGACAAGTCGCGATTTCACCGACGCGTGTACTTACGTGCCGTCTAGAAATCGAATCGTCAACTGTCTCTCTCTCTCCCTCTCTCTCTCTCTCCCCCCCTCTCTCTCTCTCTCTCTCTCTCTCTCTCTCTCTCGGAATTGCGATATGTCTCGTTAGAGTCGCGCGGCAATTAGACGTCTCGTCGAAGGGCTGAACTGTACTTTATAGCGAAATTCGCTCGAGGAAAATGATCTCTTTCGTCAGAACGCTCGCGCTGTGTATCTTCGATATTGCTTAAAATTAAAATTTGAAAATCCGAAATATTAATTAATTCTAATACAGCATTATCGTTATGTCGATACATATCTTGATATTAGTATTCTTGATATCGAGTGCATTTCCTTCTTTTTTTTTTAGATTTATTCAGCACTGTTTTTTCCGCACGTTCATCGTGTTTTATTCACGAAAGTATCATTCAACCTGGGAAACTCGCTCCTTTCTTCTCAGCACGCTCTCTCGAAAGCTCGGAGAACGCTCCGAGATATCTATCGCGGCAGTATCTTTGCAGTCAAGTAACAAATGAACAAGCTATCCCACAACCATGTGTAATGGTTTGCAGATAACATCGGGGATGACGCAAGCTACTCGCGTTCAAACTCATTTTTCAGCTCGATCCATTCAGAAAGCCTCGTGCGATCGTTTTGACCGCGGCTTTTCCGTCGCGATTCATAAATCGCGGACGCTGTCGAAGCCGTGGCGAGGATATCACGTGTAGGTAGAATGAGATCTTCTTCGAAATTAGATCGAACGTGTAGTAACGAGCGTGCAGTTAACGAATCTCGTCAGCGTACGTTTGGCTAACGTATGCTGTCGAGCTAGAAATCGTGCTGCTCGGTAAACGGAAACCCGTCTTTAATTCCTTTACGAACGAGCCACACCGAGTGAAAATATCAATGCTAACGCTGGCGCAAGGAGCGTGTAAAATTTCCCCGTTGCGCCTCGTGTGACGTGTGAGGATTTTTGCACAACAACTCGGCGCGATACGCCGAGGCATAACTGACCCAGTTTACGTCCAGTCTTTAATATTCGATCGTTTATCTGGCTTTGACCGATTTACTTTCGTCATATCATCGTGTCTATCTGTTGTGTGAGATCTTTGCATGACGAATCGACTCTCTCCCGAGAGCACGTTTTTCACAATATATACACCGACGCACTATTATCGAAAGAGATCGCTTCTCTCGCGTCTAGACCCTACTGTTAATTATCGAAATCTGAACAGAGATGTCAGACATATGCACGTTTCTGCCAATGTCGATTGAACCTAAAACCTTAAACATGGATCAAATTTACCCGAATCAACTTTTCAAACGTTCTCGAAAACATGTGTTTTGTTTTTTCATTATTAACTTTTTGCAGCTCTACTGAATGACAAAAACATTAATAGATTTATATTCCTCGATATTTTTTATATCGATTAAAAGAAAGAGCATTAAATTTCGATCACTTTTCCGAAAGTAAAAATGAAAATGCGCTGGATAAAATTTATCCATGCTTAGGATTTATGTAACTTTTTGATGTTTTTGATATGTTCTGGGATTAAACCTTAACCTGTGAGTTTAAGTCTATGTTTGAATAAAGTTTAAACTCTCAAAGTTTAAACTCTAAAGTTTCATCGACATTGGTAAAAACGGGCAATCTTGAACACTGGCAATTCCGCAAAAATAGGGATATATATATATATATATATATATTTGCGATTGTGCGAGCAACGACGTTCGTCGTGAATTCAATCGAAAACGCTCGTCCACTTCAGATATTTTATTGAGATAAACAAAAAAAAATGACAAAACTTGAAGAGCGAAGTCGCGGCTGCGCCGCCGTGGCAAGTCGAGGCTGAAATTTCGCTCGCGGACGGTTCCTATCACAACGAGAAGAGATTATCCGATTATCTGGCCCCGCGGTATCGTTCCGTAATCCGTGCGCCGCGTACACGCGTGCATCGTGCAATCGAGTGCGTTGATGTCAGACTGGAGGCACGCGCAATAGAACGGGATGGAATAGAATAGAATGGAATGGAGCGGTGCGGAGCGAAGCGGAGAACATTATAAAGCGAGTCTTCGTAGCATAGGTAACAATTACCTAGCGAGGGGCCTTACGTCACCGCAGCAGTGACCGTGGGTGAACGAGGGAAAGTCTCGCGGGGCCCTCTACACGCTCCGCCGCGGACAATAGAGACGATTCGCCCGCGCCGGCTCACGCCATTCGTGTGTCTACTTCGATGTAGCGAGCGCGTACGAACGTACGTATGTATGTGCGGCGGGCGTGCGGGGGGTGTACGTTATGTGCTAATGAATGTGCTCGCGTATCCCTCGCCGATTTCGATCACTCTCGTCTGCGCGGAGGATAGAATGAAACGCGGGCGCGCCGGTGGAACTGACTGAAGATTAGCTAACGAGAGCTCTCACCAGACGAAGAGTATCTGATTTTTTTTCCCTTTTTAATTAGCGAGTTCAACTTAAATAAATTTATCGTGTACGACGACTTTGAGGATAAGACCTCAATCGTGCAATAAGGCTAGTACCACAATATCCGGACACATACACTGAAAAAATATCTAAAAAATAATAGATATTTATTCGGTGAGTACACCAATGACATACTTGTACTGATATAAAATATGCTTCAAACATACATCTTCTTAAAATCTTAATTTTTCATGAATTGTTTATTCGATTTAAATAAAAAATATAGATTTGACTAAATATTAGTGGTACTCATCAAATAAATATTTATTATATTTTACGTACTTTTTTTTCTCAATGTATCTCTAATCCTGAACATTATTGTTTTGGCCTTTAAATACAAATATTTCAAATTTCAACATAGGAGATAAATATACATATATATTCTATGTTGAAATATTTAGAGATGAAAACAATAAAAATGTTCAGCTACTCGCGTCAAGGTACTTTCTTACCTTATATGCAAGATTACGAAGATAAATTAAAAGAGTGATCTCAATTTTAATTCAGGAATGTATAAAATTGAAACGAGATGTATGATTGGCGAAATATGCACGCGTATTTTTATTATATTAATTATATTGCCTCTCTGATATTTTTTTGGAAGATTGAGAGTGTAGATGAAGTCTACGGAATCAAGGAGAGGGGTTCGCAGCTAAGAGCAGCTTGACGATCGCGTTAGAGTTAGATACGATGTCAAAGGCAGATTTAAGAGTGAGAAGGCCTGTGACAACCGCTGACTGATACTCGCTCATGCGACTCGGGTGTTCTCTGAAGAGACTCAACCCGCACCGTCCTGCGTACACGTCCGATGGACGCGTCGTTACAAAGCGACCAACACAGACGGCCGTATAATAGACTCATTATTTCTGCTTGCTGAAGCACTGTTACGTTATGTATCACAGCTCTTCGAGGTCTCTGGTTCGACTCTCGCTTATCCTCGCTTTCGACCTCCTCGTGTCGGAACCGACCACGTACCGCGCGCTGTTATTTAGAATCTAGTCTGTACGGTTCGTAAATTCCCTACGCGCCGTTAGCAAAATGGATCAGCGCTCCAAGTGCATCATAATCCCCCGAAAAATTTCAATTTGCAAAATTTCACAGTTGCATGAGTGCGCTTTTTTTTAATCCGACCTAATATTCTTATAATATCCCTCAGTATCTTGCAGTTTTTCTTCGCGTTATTGGAAAAGAGAACGGATCAACTCTGAACTGCATTAAACTTCGGACGCGCAATACGACGGAAATACAGTGGTATATCTAATTTTACCAATGTGTGATTAGGCTTGCTTTGTATCAAACTTCAAACTTCTGGAAACTTATTTCAATTCATGTAATGTACAATTCGATAACGAGACATTTTCATAATTTTCCTCGACGACACCATTGTAGTAGAGGATAAAATCTCCCATGTCCTTTTTCAGACAGATTTTCTGCGTGTGAAGAATTTCGAGTAGTCGGGGCCTCTCTTATCGAATTAACGATCGAAAAAACGTATATACAAAGATAATGTAGAAGGGAGGAGAGACAGACAGACAGAGAGAGAGAGAGAGAGAGAGAGAAGGAGAGAAACAGAATGCCGATCAGAATGCCCCGCGTATCTATCGCGATGTCGCCGTCGCCATCAATA